AAATACAATAAAAAATATTAAAATAAGCTGTAGAAAAATAAGTCATCGTTGATATTTTACCATAGTCCGTAATGGCTAACAAATACTCACACACCTCAGCAAAATACACTGTGATGAATCTAAAGTATTCAAGAACAACATAATGCATAAGACACGAATGAAAAGAAGTTTGCTGCATCTTGAGATTGTTCGTCAAACCATTATATACGTTATCATTTGAATACCGGAATACCGATAACGATTGAGACATAAATAAAAAAATATTCAGAGAATTTACATAAAGAAGGTTTTATTCAATTATAACATAAAGACAATGTATTTTTTTCAAAGACTAGGAACGTTTATTAATAGCTTATTAATAGGTATGTACGTATCGAGTTAAAATTTTATTACTATTTTTATTTCGATTTATAAAAAAATAGAGCGGTAAACTTAAAAAAATATGGTATTTGGACCAATAGACGCAGGTTTTTTATTTTATAATATTTACCAAGTGACGGGACGAACAAGCCGTGTGCCTGGTAGTGGCTGTCCATTACAGTTGCAGTGCCACTCAGAGCTATAAATCTCAAAGATCTTGGGGGCACTGCCACTGCGCCCATCACTCTGAGACACAAGTCATGTACCTGTAATTTCACCAGCACCCTTATCCTTCTAAACCGGAACGCAGTAATGCTCACGTTACTGCTTGGTGGAAATAGGTAAGGATCGACGGGGAAAGATGTTCGGTCCTCTAATGTCACGACAGTTTTTTTAGAAGCCTTATAAGCCCACAATTAAAATTGGTGCGTGCGTACGTGGCGTCGAGTACCTACATGATATCATATCACACTTAAGTGTAGCTAGTTATTCAACTTTTTAAATATACCGATATAAATCTTACCTATGGAAATGTTAAACAGCCAATTAGTAATACCGGTATTTAAGTCTTCATTTTCTTTATCTTGCATACGATTGGCCTGGATGTCCAATTTGATTTGATTGCGTGGATTATGTATCAATAGTATGTGAGTCAAACAAATTATCGGATGTAAAATATATTGCCTACATTAATCTACACATCTTAATATGTATAAAAGCAGCCATTAAGTTTCTCCATACATGTTTAGTTATAACTTCCTAAGAGCCTACGCACACAGCGTATTTTATACGCGCCGACGACGCGCGTTACGAATGCGCGTTTACGGCGCCGTAAACGCGCGTTATTTGTACGTACACGCGCCGCTGTTTATCGATTCAAACGCGCGCAAACATCGCGTTGCAAGCAAGAAGCTTACATAGATATTCCGCTGGAGTTTACATTTAGAATTTCATGTAGATGCTTCATTTCAAAAATTAACAGAATTTAACAAACAAGTTGTCCTCAGCGCGTATAAAATACGCCAAGGCTCAATTTATATTGCGTCGGAAAGAAATGGAAACGAATTTTTGTAACGATATTGTACGTACGTAACGTAATGATCTTTATGGTCAATTGTGTAAAATACAAAAAAGAAGAAGAGAATTCCGCGGAAAACCATAAAGTTCATTATATAGCATAATGAATAAGTAGAATATCATTATAAAAATTCGCTTCCATTCCGTTCCGCTGTAATACAAAATTGAGCCTAAGACCTAACAAAATGGGACAAGCGCTAAACATCTAATTAAAATATACTAAATAACATGCATCAGGCCCAAGCAAGTATGCCTTCCATTTTGTATAAATACTTATTTTTCTAGATACCCCATGGCCGCATGGATTGATATGTATATATAATTGTATAGTGTATAGAATATATTATAGTGCTAAATTTTAATCACAAATTCAAATCACTTTACATATTATGGACGGACAACGGCACATCAGACTACACATTTTTGTTCGAAAATCGCCTTCAGGACAGCGGAACAAGATACGTCAATGTGTAGCGTGTGTACATACGTTTTGATATACCTATCTACACGGATCCTTAGAAAAATAAAATATGATACGAAGTTGCTTCAAAGGTTCATTAAAACCTTGGAGTGGAATTAGGAATTGTAATAAATGTGTGCAATTTACGACATTCTTAAGTAATTGTCATAATTATTTTAATTCTTATTCTTAATTACTATAAAATAAATATTCTACAATATGGAGATTTCTTATGTATTTTTTTTATTTGTCACCAATTTGCTTTCTCCATAGTCTAAACCAATTTGTCACCCATATAATTGAATAGGCAAAGGTACCACAAAGAAAGACAAATTAGGGTGCTACCATAGATTTAGTATATAATGGTGTTACCATACAGTTTCTTTATAAATTGTTTTTTTTTTGTAAACCAGTCAGACTTGTTCAATTAATTATTATCATGTTTGGTTTTTGGGCCTAATTAAAAAAGAAACTGCAAAAGTATATTTATAGAAATTATTGCATGAGTCTGAGAGATGAGGTATCTACAAATATTATGAAAAATTTGTATTCCTCAAGGATTCTATTCTATGATTCAAAATGCATGTTTGTAACGTCTTTAAAACATTAAAAAATTAAATGTAAAATTTCATGAATTATTATTCATACACGGCTGTATTCTACATGGCTTCTACTTAATTGCGTTCTTTCCATCCTTTACGATTGCGTTACACGCATCTATGACTGGCAAAGAAATGTTACTAAGGGAACCTCTCCGAGAGTCGTATTCTAGAACTCTACTCAATGCTCAAGTCAGGATTTGAGTTTGGTTTAAAGCACTCGAAATCATACTCAAGTCCCTGCCATTAGGGTCGTATTTCCAGTGCTTGTGTTTCCAGTGCAATCCTGACTTGAGCATTGACTAGAGTTCTAGAATACGACCCTGAAACACAAAAAGGTTCCTTGAAATAGTGAAATAATAATTCTTCATATTTGATTGTCGAGTTACAAGCTAGCATATAATTTATAAACTCAGAAATTTAAAAACAAAGTTGCTTTTAATTTAAAAACTGTGTTTCATTTTTCAGTTAAAAATCTCTATTGAAAACATTGACTTACAATTATATGGACGTCGGGTCCGCGCTAAAAAGTGTCCGCACTTGTAAGGCGCTAAAATCGTATACAGAGCGCGACACTCCGCTTTAGTCTTCATTTGTTCTACGGACAGCGCGATACTGCGATGACATAACAATTTAAATTTCGAATAGGTTGACTTGGGACATTTTTTTTGTGGTTTTTGTATTAGACCCGTCGTCCATTTATTTGTAAGTCAATGATTGAAAAAGTTCAATTCATGACATTTCTACATTGACTTACAAATAAATTTCTAATTTAAATTTATACTTCCGCCAGTTTCTGTTGTCAATTTATCAGTGTTGCAAATTGATACTTCATTAAACAACAAAATTGTATAAACGTATTTTTTAAAATCTCACAAAGTGAACACATCGTTTATTAAAAGTGTATCAATAAACTAATAATAATAATAATACATACAGTTTGTGTAAGTACTGAGGTATTATACGAAACTTTCGTTATGGTAAAATTGAAAAAAAAAAACCAATCAAACATTACTGTTATTTGTATTTGTAGCCATAGTTTATACACTTATATTCGATGTACATATTTTATTTTCCCAAAGCTTTTGCAACTTTCTTGGATTGTTAAAGTTTGCTCGCGGGACATAGAAATGTACATAAAAAAATGAAAAGTTAAAATGGCAGTAATATAACTATTATTGTTATAGATGGGAAAAACTGCTTATTTTTCTAAACGTTTAAACGCATTTTAAACGTTATACTTTTTTAAAAAAGCGTGTTTTTTAAACGCTTTTTCAGTTAAAAGTTTTTTAGCTTGCTAACAAAATCGTTTAGACACACAGTTTAGTTTAACAAAAGCATTTAAGCGCATAGGGTCGTATACCAGAACTACTCAATGCTCAAGTCAGGACTTGCGTATAATTTGACGAACTGGAAATACGACCCTAACGGCAAGGACTTGAGTATGATTTCTAGTGCTTTAAATCATATTCAAGTCCTGACTTGAGTATTGAGTAGAGTTCTGAAATATGACCCTTAGATTTTTATGTTAAAAAAAGCTTGCAATGTTGTGTTGATAGCGAAAAGCAACTGTAGACGACTAAACGTTTTAAGAAAGTAAGTTTATTTGTAAAAAATGAGTTTTATTTTTATTTATAACACAACATTATTATATATTATTAACATTTTGTTAAATGGCGTTTCACATGGAAAAAACGGCTTATTTTTTTAATGTTAAAACGTACGTTTAAAAAGCGTGCTTGTAAAAGCGCTTTTCACTTAGGGTTGTATTCCAGTACTCTACTCAATGCTCAAGTCAGGACTTGAGTATGGTATAAAGCACTAGAAGTCAAGTCCTTACCATTAGGGTCGTTTTTCCTGTGCTTGAAATCATACTCAAGTCCTGACTTGAGCATTGAGTAGAGTTCTGGAATACGACTTTGAAACGCTTTCGTTTAGAAAAACGTTTAAGCACAAAGTCTTTTATGTTTAAAAAAGCTTGCAATGTTATATTGAATTAATTTGTTTAGGAAACAGATGGCGCTAAGTGAAACTTCGGCACATTGTGAAAAATTAAATTGTTGAGTACCTATAGAACTGACCAGTGAGCAACGCTTAAAATGAAAAGCGTGCTTATATTTTAAAAAGCAAACTTTTTAAAGTGCTTTTCGTTTAAACGCCCACCTCTAATTATTCTGGTAACACATAACTTAAAATGGGATTTGCTCTGGGCCTTTTGGAGGCAAAAGTGTTGTTTTTATTTTGACTTTCTATTATTTTGTGACATCTAGTTTAAAGTGGAATAGGATGGTGCTATTGTGCCTTAATCGAAGATTGAAACGAGAAATTATACGAATCCCGAATTAAAATACCCGTTCTAAGGAATCCCAAGTCAATCCAAACACGCCGCCTCAAATTGCCTATCCTCTTTGTGGCGGCCATATTTACAGAAACATAATTAAACGAAGACATGGTTCAAAGGACTTGTATCCAAGCCAAAATTATTAATAAAAAAATTACTTAAAATGTCAAAACCGAAAATCGATGGTGATGGTTTTCAAATAGTAACTTCCAAGCGCTTTTCCAAAAATAAACCCACAAAAATACCTTCCAGAAGCTATAAACTTGAACAACAAGACATACTGATCGACTCGGATAAAACATTGAGGTAAATTTGCTTTTATAAGTGTATTTGCCAGGTTGATATTTGAGGTTAGGTTATTCATAAGATGGTTTCGTATTTTTCAGGAAAATACAAGCTGCTTTCAACGATTTGAAGTATTCAGAGTATTTAAAAGGCATCTTGAAGGCAGTGAGTACTATACTTCAATCAAAAAAAGTTGTAGAAATAGTTTGTTTCGGTCTTGGACATATAGGAGAGTGCCAGATTTCTAGATATCAGTTAGCCTTTTTACTGTGTTTGAAAGATATTTGCGGCCCTGAAAAAGTGTCAGTCCACGACCCTATATTTTACAAAACTGAATGCGAAGTGCTAAGACAGTTAGGGCTTTATGTTATTAAAGAAAATAAGGAGGGACGTTACATAATTTCTGAACAAGGAGTAACTATAGTGTATCTCCCGCATTGTCCAAAACAATTGACAAACAACTTCCTTTGGAGCAATTGGAGTAAAAACTTAGCAAATTGTGTACTTATTTGCAACAGTTTCTCATCTTTAATAGAAAATCAGCCAGGTAGAATTTTATGTGGAACTGTTCCATACATTGTTGAAATTTTTCCTTATACAACAGAAACAGTATTGGAAAATAACTTCAAATTCACTGACATATTTAATGATACGTCAGTACATTATTTTACTAAACAAAGTTTAGAGAATTGCCCTCCTGAATTTTGGATAAAAAGAGATAAACCCCAGTACAAAAACTCTGAAGAATTCATAACTTCATTAATGATAGAGAAATTGAGCATTTAATTCTTGTTGAAGGTTTCAACCATGACTTTAATTAAGTCAAAACCAGCTCTCGTAACTCTACGAGGACTACTTTCCGAGATACGTAAGCACAGTTCTTCAAAAGTGCTAAAAGAGAATCAAATGGCAAGATATGTTTTGGATCAATACCGTAAATACCAAACAACAGATCAGCAGTTATGCAAAGCTATTGATGAAATGCACTTTAGAGCTAGAACATATTACAACTACCTTAATAGCTCGAGGATGTCAAAAGAAATAAATAAAGAATATAGAGGGAAAGGAGAACGAAGTGTGGAAGAAACTGCAAGAATGGTCGGTTTCAAGTTACCGCATGATCCGAAACCGAAATGAGTTTAAATAGTACTGGGGGTTTTGGATTTAAGGCAATAGTTTTATAGATGACATAGATGTGAATAAATTGTTATTTAGTTATCTAATACATTAAAGTCTTTTACATATGTGGGATTTTATTACTTCCTTTATTTTTAATAGCATTTTTAGGAGTTAAATGAAAACAAAACATTTTTATTAATTATCATTATAAAATATAATATACATAATATATAAAAATCGCCATTTCAGAACAGGAATGCATAAGAGTCTTAAATGTAAATAATTTTATTAATACTTTCCAGGTTGTAAATAAAAATGTCTTTTATACTTAACTACATTTTGTAAATATTGTATTGAAAAGTTTTTATAATTAAGTGTTTTTTGGTGTTTTAAATACCATCATTAATTTTTTAATTACAATTTCAATTTCAAGAAACTACCAACTCAAATTAATCAGATGTCATCACCTAGTTGAGTGTCTTGACACAAAAAATGTACTATAGTCTGTACCAATCCATTTTGAACAGAAAGTTAACAAGCCTGTTTTGTTAAAATTGTAAAGCAATCACTCAATAAATTGAATAATTACCACTTTCACGTATATTTCGAAGATTTCGACCTGATATATCATCACATTTTCCAACAATATTCATTTGAATAACATCGTATTTGAAAAATGGTAGTCTTAGGGTCGTATTCCAGAACTCTACTCAATGCTCAAGTCAGAATTTGAGCAGACTTGAGTATGATTTCAAGCACTGGAAATACGACCCTAATGGCAAGGACTTGACTATGATTTTCAGTGCTCACTGCAATACTCAAGGCCTGACTTGAGTACGATTTCAAGCACTGGAAATACGACCCTAATGGCAAGGACTTGAGTATGATTTCTAGTGATTTGAATCATACTCAAGTCCTGACTTAAGTATGATGCGAACCTAAGTCGTATTCCAGAACTCTACTCAATGCTCAAGTCAGGACTTGAGTATGATTTCAAGCACTGGAAATACGACCCTAATGGCAAGGACTTGAGTATGATTTTTAGTGCTTTACATCATACTCACGTGAGGTTATTATTCATCTATACTTCTATACCTTGCCTATGGTTGCATAGTGCTGTTCGAAAAAAAAACATTCGGTTCAATTAAAGTTTAGTAATCGATTATTAAATCGAACATTTCAATTGCAATCGAACGAGTATCTTAAGTGTAAGGATTTGAAGGAGGATTTAAATTGAAATTTTAAATATGCTTATATAGGTTATGTAAGGAAAACCGCTAGTATGACTCAATTGAACAAATCGATTCATTCAATTAATTAATCGATTTGTAGTTGGCGTTACAATTGGCCATCACTAAACCGTCTATGGTCGGGTCAGTGACTTGTTGGTTCACTTTTTTGTTCAAAATGGATTGGAACGAAGTAATGAATATGCTCATTATGTACTTTTATAAGTTTAATTGTTGATTCCATCTGTCTGTAACGTCTATGTCTCACCCTTAGCGTAATAAAGCTACATCTGCAAAATGACATTTTTCAGGAGAGAGGTTTTAGGATTGTACAATTTTTTTTTATATTTACAGCAACAATATCTATGTACTAGTAGTCTGAGGATAGTTTCATGTGCTTCTTATTATTTTTATGACTTTTTATGTGATAAAAGCACTTTTAACGCATGATCATATCGTGGGTTTTTTGTAGAAAGGGCCAAAGCGTTATTTCGAAAAAAAAAATCAGGGCAAATATTAATTAGTTTTTCATGACTGTTTTAAAATATGTATGATATGTGCGCTTTCGCGATTTCTACAAAACACCGATAAGTGGCTTCTTTATACTAAAGGTACGTTTCATTAGCTTAAAAGTTAATGCAACAAATTTTGAATGTAACTTGAATTATCTTCGTAATGAAGTAGTTCGTAGTTCTTTGCAATGAAGATATAAAAATGACATTTTTATTTACAGCCTCTCTTCTCATCTATTTGTCTTATCACTTGTACTCCTTCTCGATAAGCTTAGCAATAGTCTGCAGCTGCATGTTGCTGGTTCCTTCGTATATGGTACCGATCTTGGCGTCGCGAAAGAACTTCTCTTGAGGGAAGTCCCGAGTGAAACCCACGCCACCCATGAAGTCTATGCACTTTGATGTTAGGCGTTGAGCGATTTCTGGAAATGCAAAGGTAAAATGGTTAATTGGAATACTTCAAAACATTCTTAAATGTACTTTTTTGTAATAATTTGATTTCACGCCTAATCGTTATCACATAAGTATGTGAAAGTAGCTGTTTTTCTTCGCAATTTCAGAGGAGTCTACAGTAAAATTTTGGTTTCATATTTCGAAGGACATCGACCAAGAAGTTAGCAGCTATTCCACTACCACATTTTCGTTTAACTAAAGTAAACGGTTCTTTTAAGGGGAACTGTATACGTTTTTACAATAAGACTCCGGAGCATATATTAAAATTACTATTTCCTAAGTCTAAAATTTACATTAAAAGTATTTTAATTGAAAAGTCATATTACAAAACCGTAGACTACGTGTTAGATAAAGATGTATGGAAAGACAACGTGAGTCCAGATTCCACACAAATATGATTCAAAATGTATTCTATAGCATTTAAGTTTATTTGAAAAGAACAATCCCTACAGTTTCTTGCTTGTTCTTCTCAGAGAGGTGAGCGTAGTGAACGAGCAGTAGCTTAAAAAATGACGTTTTCAAGTGTAAAAATGTTACCTATGGATCAATCTTTCCTTGATTACAAAAATCATTACTTGATTTTCACTTCGACTAAGTTCAACCAAAGAAGTTCTATCAGTTGAAATAATAGTTCAACTTTCCAACAATTAACATGTAAGTTGAACTAATGGTAACTATTTTAATTTAATTAGTTCGAGTAAAAAATTCACGTTAATATACAGTTATAAATGATATTTGTACTTTGAACAAAAACTATTATTTTTTCAGTAATTTTCCCACGGTACATTAAGAAACAAACACATTTATGTATAATCTCAGTACAGAGTACTAAAAAAACTGACCACAAAAATACGTGGAATTACATCTATTTGCCAAATTTTTTTGAAATCCGTTACCGGAAACTGCGCAAATCCGGATTCATCCCCTACTTCGCCACTATACGGAACTTGACACAGAAGATAATAAAAATCGGTTCTCACTACTCAAAGTATATTGAGAAAGAAAAACGCCTTGAATTAGAGAATAGCAAAATCAACCTTTAACATAATTGCTCCTTACAATAAGATTTAGGAGCTATTTATAAAAATGAATCTTCATGCGTGCACAGCCACTCTTAGAGGTGGATGATTTTCTTCAAAATTAAATGGGACCACTACGGAGGTACCCTCTTTCCAACAAAAAAGAATCATGAAAATCGGTGCACAAATACCGCAGTTATCGCGTTACATACATACAAAAAAACATACAGTCGAATTGAGAACCTCTTCCTTTTTTTGAAGTCGGTTAAAAAAACACGTGAACCATTTAAGCCGTGGTAATTAAATTAATGACGCGAATTCTGGGGAAATGGCGATTAAAGGTAAATGAATTAAACTTGAACAAACGCGATTTTAGCTTATTGACGATATTGGTTTCAATGTGAGATATAAACTACTATATTTTTTAGTTTGTGTATTGAGCATAGTTTGCTTTAAATTACAAATACTTGTTATAAATAAGGTAACAGTATACAGGTGATTGTTTTATCAATAGCCAAATTTTTTCTACGCATCAGGGATATATAACTCAGACTTCATTATTGAAAAAAAAAATAGTACGTCAAATTTTCACAATGAAATTATTTATCCAATACATATATTTACAAATTATAACGATTGTTTCCTATTGGACAACCTTTATTACCAGTTATCAAGAAACAAATTTTTAGTCCATTCACCTGATGGAATGTGGTTAGACAAATATAATAAGGCTCCTTGATCCTTTGTGAGCAGGTTACCAAATTCTCATCTTTAATCTCAAATTTTGACATTTGTGATATAGCGAATAACACAAGATCACATCTGGTAATTCTGCTGTCTCACCCTTAATATGGAAAACAGTAATACTGCTTCGCAATAGAAAAGAAATTACCTGAAGCATAGTATTTAGCCATAGCTGCCTCCTTAACGAACTCCAATCCGTTCTCTTTTAGCCTGGCTGCATTATAGGCCAGCAGGCGAGCTGCCTCCAGTTCCGTTTGTAGGTGCGCGATTTGGTAGTTGATACCCTGAAAAGATGTGGCTTAGTAAAACTCAATTCATCGATCCATTGTCACATCGGCTCATTCATCCATTAGTGTTTAGATATAATTATTTTCTGTGCAATGGGATCTTGATCCAAGGAAAATTTTCCAATGTTGGCCTTTCTTGGTTAGGTAAGTTCCTTGTGCGTTCAGTAAGTCATATCATCGTCAATAAACTGCCTCCAGTTCCAGGTTCGATTCCCGGGCTGGGAGAAATATTTGTATGGCCTACATTATTTCTATCGTGAGCTTGGGTGTAATTTGTGGTTGTGTGTCCATGGCACCCGTGACTCGGGGTTTCCCAAGTACGGGGCTATGTTGAGTGTGTGCGTTATTATTATTATTATCAATTCATCATAAGTCCCTCTGCTGAGCACGGGACTCCTCTAAGGAGAGGTTTTCCAAGCCTTTTTGAATGTTTTCAACATTCAGCTTTCATCACGTTTGCTTTCACCTTTTGGAGCAGCATTGCATCTAAGGGTCGTATTCCAAAACTCTATTCAATACTCAAGTCAGGATTTGAGTATGGTTTAAAGTACTCGAAATCATACTCAAATCCCTGCCATTAGGGTCGTATTTCCAGTGCTTGTGTTTCCAGTGCAAGCCTGACTTGAGCATTGAGTAGAGTTCTAGAATACGACCCTAAATATTATAAAAGTATGTAACTTGAAAGTTACAGCTACAAATAAACCTAACTCATGTATTTTATCTCTATTGACCTTAGCATTTTTTTTTACAATAGCGGATAGCTGCTTGATATAGAAATGAATCGAAACAGATTCCTTAAGGCGTGACGGAGGACAGTTTTAAAAAAATCTTTATTTAACTTCAGGAATTTGTTTCCGGAGAATATGCAAGTTCTACCATAACCTTATTCTAATTGTTACACAAAGTAGAGCCAACGCCATTTTTTAAATTGTAAATATTAAAAGCACTAAGTCAACTAACAATTATTTACCATGTCACACAACATTTTCGTATATTTTGAAAAGGGTTCAGACAGAAAAAAAAATGTCGGTATGGGTTCTTCAGAGTAATCCGCTATTTGCAAACTCACGATTTTATCACTACTTCATAAAAAACCAGATCAAAAAGTTTTGAGCAATAAGGTAATTTAAAAAGTTAGACATCTGAAGGATATTCAGAATATAATATATTATTATTCCTTCAAGTTATTACTTACAAAACGTTCTACTGTAAAATCGTGATTTTGCCGATAACCTGTTACTCTTTGCTGCCGTTCGAATAGTATTCGTCGGCCTTAGTTCTTGGTACATTCAGCCAACAACGGTGGATAGTTGTGTACCTAGCGCATGATAGCTTCATACCTACGTAAGCATATTTCGAAAAATATGTTAAATAACCTGGTTTGAGTAAATGGGTCTGCCGAATTGCTTCCTCTCGAGCGTGTAGGGGATGGTCGCGTCCATGCAGCCCTGACACAGACCGATCATCTGAGCAGCGATGCCGATGCGGCCCTCGTTTAGGAAACCGGCCGCGTATTTGTACCTGTTAGAAAAGAGGTATTAGCAGAGTTCGGAGCAACTAGAGCATTATGTGAATATGCTCTAGTTGATACTAAATATCAAGGAAGTACTCAAAATATATCTTGTACTAGATTTTTGATGTGTTAGGTACACATGTTAGATAATTTTCCGAAAAATTTCAAATGGAAATTTTTCCGGAACAATTCCCGAAAAAATGGAAAAATATAATTTCGAAGGCTCATATTGTGTTGTACGTTTAGAAATATCTTTTGAAGTTTTATTATAAAATAAAACTGTAGTTGCAGAAACAATTTGTAGAAAAACGGGACTTAAAGTGATTGGATCACAGCGAAAAAAACCTTTTTATTGGCTACATGCATCGTTTTCATTCAGTAACTACAACTTTTGACCGGTGTCACCGTTAAATGTGGAAAAATATCCGGACAATATTTATTTTTCTGAAAAATATGATTTTGTCAAAATGGAAATTTACCTAGTAACCTAACTAGCATTATTGTACTACGTTCATGGATGACTATTACTATATTTAGAAGAAAAGTTGTCATTGTAAATAATATACTTAGTACAGGCACGCCAAACTTGACACTTAAGATTTAAATCCAATTCTATGCCGGCCGGTTACGATAAGAACGGTCCAAAGTAAAAAGTGTCAAGTTTGATGTGCTCTCCTCTGTACCTACCCATTGTAAATAAAAATAGTTTGGAAATTGGAAATGAAACTTCCGAAACTTTTTTCCGATGTAAAGTCGCGTAGGTACAGTCAAGAGCACGTCAAGCTTGACACTTTGTACTTTGGACAGTTCTTATCAAAAACGGCATAGAGTTGAATTTAAATCTTAAGTGTCAAGCTTGACGTGCTCTTGACCCTGTACTACTTATATTTGTTTTTTAAATTATACGAAAGTTATGGGATTTTTATTTATTTATTTATAAGTGAATATTGGTACCTACACTAATAAACACATACACCTTGACAGGTATGGTAGTGAGAGGAATGGGCATAGATATAGAATTTTCTTTATCTATGGGAATGGGTGTGTCGCACGCGTCTCTCGCGTACCTTTTGTTAATATGCGAATGTGTGCGTTCGTACATGGCGCACGGTGGGCGCGCTGAAATGCAAACCGCGCTGCTACGTTTGTGGAGTTACTTAGACTCTGTGTGCCCCAATGGGAGACACGTCTATATATACACACGTATACTCAGGCCATCGAGTAGGTATATAACCAGAAATAGAGACGTAATAAGAGCCATCCATCCCTGGCAACTGATCAGCCTTGACTTCAAATGAGCCTTATACCACTTTCGCTTGCACTACAATCACAAATTAGAAAGTCGAAATAGTACAGCGCCAACAACTGACCTGTGTCTACGTCTCCGTGTATTCCTAAAATAATCTGTATTTATTGTAATAAAGATAATATCTCTAACAATGGGGGCTGTTCCATGCGGTCAAAACATCTAATTACAAAACAAACGGAATCACATTTCATCGGTAATTAAATATGTCATTTTTAAATTGTCGTCGATTATAGCAAAGCTCAAGTCAAACTAGTCGATTCGAAGTGAAACAATTGGCGACACCCGTCAATTGTTTGTAATTGGGCTGGCCAATCGGATCGCAGTTGTCGCTGTAATGATTTGGCAGAATAGTTTTCAAACAAATTAAATGGCATTTCGTCTCTATTTCTGGTTATATACTCGATGATTTTCAGCTATTAACATATGTTTAGATAGTATTCCACATAGATCCATGACTTAAACACGTGGTTCTATTTTGTAATATATAAACAAAACACATGTACGAAAGCAGTTGTCGCTGTAATGATTTGGCAGAATGGTTTTCAAACAAATTAAATGGCATTTCGTCTCTATTTCTGGTTATATACTCGATGGTTTTCGGCTATTAACATATATTTAGATAGTCTTCAATATATGTAGATCCACGACATAAACACGAGGCTCTATTGTGTAAGGTGAAAATAAAACATGTACGAATGTACAAGTTTACGAATTCGATTTGAAGACTACAATGCTAAATTTTCTTCTACTAAATGTTCTGTCAATTATTTGTATATTAAGATTTCTTTAGTGGTAGGTATATGATCAAATACTACATACCATATTGCTTATCTTTTCAGTTCATGGACTCATTATATCGTTAATGGATGTATTCCTGAGTAACAATATGATTTTAATGATTAAATCACTCGGACGAGTGTATTTAAAAAAAAAAAGAAAGTGCACTTGTTATTAATAAAAATATATTTGTATTGCCTACATCAACTGTAGCAATAAAAGTATACAATTTGCTTTTATTGAAAGGTATAGGTACGAGAAACTTTTTAGCATAGATCCTATAGAGAACGTATACCTTCCCGCCTCTAAATGTAAATAAGTAAATAAATACGCACACACTCATAACTCCGCACTAGGGAAACCCTGTGTTACGGGTGCCATAGACACACACACTACTACAAATTACATTCAAACTTGCTAGAGAAATAAATGCAGGCCTGGCCATACAAATATTTCTCCCGGCCCGGGAATCAAACCCTGGACCTCTGCGAGGCAGACCAACATCGGTCAAGGAGGCGGAGTATAATAATATTCTGGTCTATTTTTGGAATCTCTTAACGCAGGCAAGCGTTTAAGAATTACAGTGCTTTAGAAGTTTATAACATAGAGTAATCGTTATTACATTGAGGGTCGTATTCTAGAACTCTACTCAATGCTCAAGTCAGGATTTGAGTATGTTTAAAGCACTCGAAATCATACTCAAGTCCCTGCCATTAAGGTCGTATTTCCAGTGCTTGTGTTTCCAGTGCAATCCTGACTTGAGCATTGAGTAGAGTTCTAGAATACGACCCTCAAAATCAGACAACGTTGGGATTGCTTTGCAATGCGAATTTGGCGATCCCAGTATAAGCTTTGCATTATACTGGGATATTGCTGATATGGTCTTTTCCAGATTGGGCCACTACTTTATGTGACTGACTCCCGTTTCGGAACCTCAGAGGGTCATTGATTTTGGAACTGTGGAGTTGGTTCGCATCCACATAATCATACAGATCTGACCTCAAATTTCTACTTACCCCTTCCCATATTCTCCAAGTATGGCGCTCTCGTGGACCTTTACATTGTCAAAGTGTACCATGCAAGTACCAGATGCCCTAATACCCAGCTTGTTCTCAGGCTTGGCCACAGATAGACCTGGCGTTTCACGCTCAACAATAAAGCAGGTGATGCCTTTGTAACCCTGGAAATAAATTATTCCTTTTCAAAAGTCCAGTTGTATAAGTAAGTTTATTATCCTTGTTTTATATAAATTATTCCTCTATGTACGTAAGTGGATTCATAGTCCTGCAAATCGGGCTGATATGAAGTCTTATACGACTTTAACTCTGATATTCATTTCATTAACTTGGCTATTGACGTTGACCCAAAGGCTTAGCTATATAGATATCATTGCGTTGATCCATACTTATTTCATTATCGCTGTCACTGTATTTAGTTTGTAGGCCAGTCGAGTTGTATTATCATGCTATCATCCTACCCAATACTCGATGCAATGTTGTCATAGAGACAACATATGCATGTTTGTTTGATAAAATTTCCATTCAATTTCAATATAAAATTAGACGCATTATTGTAAATTATTACGCAAATGTAATATTTCTTAGGGCATAGTTTTGTTTATAATTTCTTCCATCGGATAAATGTAAAAATTTGCTACTTGGATTAACAAACAATACAAAACCACAATCGAATATTGCCAAAGTATCTAACATTGGAGCCGTAGGAAACGAAATTATTTTTCCGGATTTAAATCGCGAATATTTGTTTTTTGAAACAAACCAACGTTTCGGGCTTTTTGTAGGTCCCATGGTAACGGTTAACTGAGGTGGAAAAGTCATCAACCAGTTATGACTAATATTAATACAAACCACCTTATTTTTCACTATAGTTACAAAAGTTATTAATTAAATATCTTATTTTTAAATTTTATAAGGAACATTCCAATTTGCGCTGCATATGTTTTACAATTATTTTATTTTAACAATATAATTTTTTTTACTGAATTAAATTTATTAACAATTAATAATGGAAATTAGAATAAATTCTCAGTCTGTTTGGGATTTTTCATCAAAGGAAATACTGGATCCCAAATTGGTGGAACGGAGAAAGCATCTTCCTTGTTGAAATTAGGATGTTTCGTAATTTCAATGGCCTCTCGCAGCATCCTTGGTAGATAACGGACTTCTTTTGCAAGGACCTGTGTTGTCTAGGTGACCTAATTTTATTTCCTATGTGTAATAATCGCGAAAACCTAAGAACTCGATTGGAACCGTAGTTGACATAAATAATCAATCCTAACCTGTATATGTACTAATCCCGCAATTAGGCGGTATTTCAAACTGAAAGGGTGTTAATAATAAGTAATAAGCCTATTCGACCAAAAACACTATCTACATCTGAGGAATAATGTCGCTGAATCTCTTTCAAAAGTAGTTGCTTATTATGGACGTTTTTCTCAGAGAAAAGTTCATTACTGTTATATTTTATATGCCTGTACAAATATACATAATTTCAATAAGAAAGAAGATATCCATAATATTAACCTTAGAGCTAAATCCAAACACATGGTACAACGGTTTCGTTTAACCAAGGTAAACGACTCTTTTATGAGGAACTGTATACGTTTTTACAATAAGATTTCGGAGCATATATTAAGATTATCATTTCCTAAGTTTAAAAACTACATTAAAAATATTTTGATTGAAAAGTCATGTTACATAATTGAACACTACGTGTTAGATAAAGATGTATGGAAAGATGACATGGCTCCAGATTCCACACAAATTTGATTCAAAGTGTATTCCATAGCATTTAAGTTTATTTGAAAAAAGCAATTCCCAGAGTTTCTAGCTCGTTCTTCTCAGGGAAGTCAGCGTAGTGAACGAACAGTAGCTTAAATGTTATATTTTCAAGTGTAAATTTATTTTACCTATAGAATAAACGATTATTTGACTTTGCTTTGACGATTCGGAATGTAACATATCTTTACAGTGAAAATAGCAAAAAGAGAAAATAATATCAAACGATTCACGTACCTTAGAAGGATCAGCATTAGCCATAACCAGAAAAACGCCAGCCATATCAGAGTTAGAGATCCACATTTTCGAGCCGTTGATGATAAAGTGTTCTCCATCTTTCTTCGCTACAGTTTTCAAGGAGAAAGCGTCTGAGCCAGCTGTTGGTTCTGTTAGGCAGAAACTGCCAGGCTGCAAGATAATACGTCAATCGATTAGTCTTTTTGATTGATCGGAACGGTAACTCTATCGCGCAATAAATGAAAATCGGTTAATATCGGCTGACATTCATATTATCAAAAAATAACAAAATTCTTAAGTTATCTAAGACAAGAAAAATCAAATCCGTCTGATAAAAATCTTTGTCCAAATATATTGTGGTAGACTCGCACAACGCTTATCTTGTTTTCTACTATGGGTAAACAACGTTTAGCGTTTCTCTGTTTGGTATTCAATTGTAGGTAGGTGTCTACTTACGTATTCCGTACAAAGTTTCGTCAAGTATTTCTGCTTCTGTTCTTCAGTTCCCAACTTCATAAGTAAAGAGTTGACTAAAGTGTTATGGATGTCTACGAGAGCAGCTACTGCTGGATCCACCCTGGACAGTTCTTCGACTACCAGCATCATTGTGAGGAAACCACAGCCTGAGCCACTGTATTCTGCTGGGGTTTCGATACCCATGAGCTAGAAGACAATGTTAGGTTTGGCAGGTTACATTTGCTTTGTATTTTGTATATCTCGTAACTATAATAAGACGCCTAATTCCGGCGTACATGCGTTTGTGGTTTTTAAGGTGGTTGAAATTTTAAATTTGTTACAAGTCTCAAATGTCGTACCATTTTTTATTGCGGTGAAAAGGATACACTACGGCCTGACCTATCAAAGATGTTTGTCATTATTTTCATGTTAGTTGATACATATTAATGGTGTCTAATCATCAATCTACTACATAATTTCAATTATTGGACTAATGTAACAATCTCTTGAGCCTGCAAAGCGTGGACTTATTCAGTGTCTAAATTACGATACTTACTCCATTGTCAAAGAGAAGTTTTCTGATACCGTCATCAATGCGATGCTCATCCTCCATCTTCCTGACTAGAGGGGCGATCTGTTCCGTGGCCAGCTTTCTCACTGGAATTCAAAGTTTGACTAACATTAATTAAGTATGTGGCAGCTAACATACGTAAAAATACGACTATAATAAACTTAGAAGAACAAGAACACTATGCGTAGCTGCTTAAATAACTTCTAGGCTTATTTTAATCGTACATTCAAGATGCAATTGTGGGTACATCAACAATTATTCATTGCTTACGTTGTGAGAGTTATCAATATTTCAGTTTATGAATGAAGTTACTCATTAAGTTAAGCTGCGTCTGAAGATCATTATTATATCTTAATCAATCAAGAGGTCAATACAGAGTCTTGGTCAGTTGAGATGATATCGTTTGAGATGACGATGATCACAATACTTATTATAATTTTTAATACAAGGATGGAACACTTAGGTTAATTTCATTCGATCCGGCTAGATGTGAACCAACGTCTTCCAGCAAACCGTGACAGACGCTATGTCAACTAAGCCACGGAACGAACTAGCGGACCATAGCATTTTTTTTCTATTGTTTGAACTTCGTAAATTTTGAATATCAAGCGGAATCTTATTATAGGAGCGTAGAAATTGCCCCATATAATATATGGGGCAATTTAAAAAAAAAAATCATATTATGATTTCTTGTCCTTGTGAAAACGCTTCTTAGTACCTATTTATTTTTATTCCTAGCATTAATCCTCATTACTCTTAACGTAAATAAAATTTTCATAAAGGTAGTATGTCACTCTAAAGCGGTTACACACGACGTCTTTTAGCAGCGTGAACTTGAACTTGAAACATTTTCGACTTCTTCGGTTTTCGCAATTTCTACACACTGAAAATGAAACTATTAGGTACTACACTTTACTATTACACTTGGATTTTCAACAAATACACTTTTCCCATGGGTCCTAGGGTCAGTAGGTCGGTCGGTCAGCTGTGACCATGGAACCTATCGTCGCCTTAAAGTGAAAACCTCGCATACGCGTTTTCACATAGTTCGTTTCTACAAAGTTTTGTTGAATAAAATCTTATACTAAGAAAGTAATATTATCTGAAAGAGGTATCATTTTATTAATTAAAATCGTAACTACAAATATTATTGCATTTAGTACATTTTACACCACATTTTTATCTTCGTTCTGAAAAATTACATAGAAATCACTATACTCTAAGACGACACTGTGCAAAACCCGAAACAGTTTCATTTAAAATTGAGAGATTGAGAAAAAAGCTATTACTTTGGTAACAATAACTTCAATAGCGAATGTCTTTCAATTTTATCGTATCACAATGTTTATATCCGAAACGCTATCATTCGCGTCATTAATTATTAAGTTGTCGCGAAGCATTCGTGGGTGTTTACCGATTATCTTATCAAGACAAACCTATCATTCTTGTGTCTTTTAATCTCTAAAATCAATAATATGTTTTTCAATTCCAAATTGTTTTTGTATTTGAAATAACTGAATTTAAACTACGAGGGCCTGGAAGCTTACAATGAGCTTAGGAATGTAGTCAGCTTACGTGGTTAAACTGAATTATTTAAATTCGTATCCTGACTATACATGAGTGCCGATAATAGACCAACCGGCGGCGGCACGCCGACAAAAAAGTGTCGGCGGCGGCGGCGTTTCGGCGGCGCGAGCGCGACTCTAACACGAATTTGTATATCGATGTTTGTTTTTACAAAAACCGTTACACATTTCAAAGGAAAAAATAAAATAACGTATTTTCTATAGTAACCAAATTTTTATCATTATTGCTTCCCTTTTTCGGCGCAGGTTGCACGTTTGCAAGCTTTCACGACCTGGGAACTACACCAGTCTCAAGTGAGAGGCGGTACAGGCGTAGGCGTGTGAGAACAGGAGACAACTCAGGCGCACAGTTACGTAGGACTAATGCTGGAATTCCATCTGGCCCGCTAGCTTTATTCACGTCTAGATTCCGCAGAGTTCTAAGTACCTCTGTTTGGTGTATGCGAATTGGCGCTATAGTGCAGCCAGCCTGAGGTAAGATTAAATCCAGACGCGAACTCTTTGCAAAGAGTGAGGCAGAAAGATTTGCCTTGTCTTCTGCAATGTAGGCCAGCGTGCCGTCCGGCCTCAGCAGAGATGACATAGATGGGCGACAAAAGTTATTAGTGACTTAATATTTAAAGATGTTTTGTTTAAAAAATTAATTTGTCAATTTCTGGCGTCGCCATTTTCATTACGCATACACAATTTGGAAGCGTGCGCGTTCGTATGATCGGAGCGCCTGATCGAACTGAACGGCGCGCCGCGGCCGATTGCATTTGTCGGCGGGGCGGCGGCACGAGGAAAAACGCGGTGGCGCGAGGAAAAACGCAGCGGCGCGAGGAAAAACGCGGCGGCGGTGGCGGGGCGCTCATGTCTAATCCTGACCTACAAACAGTGTCGGCTTTACCTATTGCACAGGATGTGCGGCGCACACCGCCGTAATTCTTAGGCTGGTTTCTGAGTAGTGCTGATTTATCTGCGGAACACCGGAGCGGAGTAACACGAGTGGCGTTAGAACATCGCTTAACAGTGACGCGGATTGCTCCGCACGGAACACGTTCCGCGTGAACTCCTCGCAAGCCCCCTGTGCGTTCATTGTAGGCGACTGTCTTCCGTGAATATCCGTACTAAATTAAATACTCAATTCAGAGCACTGTAGAGTATACGTAGAGTCCATCTCTACGTATGCGGATGGCTCGCAGGCGGGCAGTCTGTACGGACCGTACGCGTAAAACCAGCCTTAGGGGCGTTGTGCGCTGCTCACGACGATGCCTCCAAACAGCCTGCGACACTCGCGGCGTAAGCGAAGTAAACGGGCTATGGCTTCCTAACATCATTTAGAAGTGCAACATTTACACCCGAATATTGCATTTGTTGGGTGCCAGGGTGTTGATTAAACCCGAGCACTATATAGACTGCCGTAAGGCGCTATCTACAAAATTGAACGACTATTGCTGGGAAAGTTGATGAATTTTATAATTTTTAAACATAAACTCTCCATATTTTTGTATGGAGCGGAAGCTTGGACGCTTAAAGCTACTGACGGGCAAACAATTGACGCTTTTGAGATGTGGTATTGGCGTCGCCTATTAAGAATTCACTGGACTGCGCATAGTGCGAACGTATCCGTGCTTGAGGAATTGTAGTTGCAAAACCAAAAACGCTTATCTTCCGTCCGTTTGCTCCGCATTCTGTAGTTCTTTGGTCACATTGCACGCAGTAGCGCTGATAGACTGGAGAGAGTGATTATTACGGGCAGGATTGAGGGCAAACGACCTAGAGGCCGAAGTTCGAAACGATGGTGAGACCAGGTGGCTGAAAGTCTGGCAGTACCAGTGAGCGTTGCATTCCACCTAGCATAAAACAGAATGCAATGGAGAAGATTGATTGACGGTGTACTTACCGACAGAGGAGGAGAATGAAACATAAACTATTGTCTATGGCCTGTTAACACTGTCACCCAAAGAGTGACATAGAAATATATGGTAAATCATACGAAAAAAGACGGTTTTTCTGTTCAAAAAGTAGTAGGACCCTTGAACGCCCTCTGGGCAAATATGAATATTTATTTATATTTGGGAAATTAACAGCTCAAGGACGTTGATGTAGTTACAATAAACAAATAAACATAGCAGAGAGCCTTTACAAACTTGCTCGACTATTCTAAATGTATCAGTACTTCATAATATGACAAAACATAAAAAATTTGATGGCGAAGCAAGATTAAGAGATAAGAGTGTGCGTGTATGGGGTTTGTGTGTGTGTGCATACTTGTATATTATAAATAGTATGTGTTTGTACTACTATTTCTCATCATGATTTTCGTTACTTCATTTTTAAAAATTGCCTTAGCAGTACAAAATGGCTCCAGTCCACGACATTCTTTGAATACAGTGGCGTCTTTTCATATTTACAGGTTACGATACCTTCCAAGGGTTAATGTAAGTAGAATGAATTACTTTAAAATTATTTCTTATATCGTCATCACAAAATATTTTTTGTTTTATTTCTTGCATTACCATAGCAACAAACATACACGAGTATGTAATATGTGTGCATTAAACATAATGTCAATGTGATAAGAATTACGGCAATAATTTGATAACAGCCAAAGATATTTTTTAAGATAACAAAAGCTAAGATATAGCAAGAAAATTATTTGTCCTTGGATTTTAATTATTTATGAAAATAATGTACCTATATTGTATTAAACTTTGTCTTAATGTTGGCAAGACGAAGAAGAAAAGCTCACCATTCTAGTCTCGGGGACGCATCAGTTTGTGGCGCCTCAAAATTTCTCAGAGATTCTGATTGAAAGTATTCCTAGTGCAATAAAAACCGATTAAGTAATTACTTCGACTGGGGGCCTTAAATTGTGGCCAATGCCACTAAATCTTACTGGCCTCACTCGGATTGGGGACACCACATGTTTACACAAAGGATAAAACTTTTTCCAGCATATTTAATCACGACATTTCCATTCATCTTCAAACGATGTAAGCAACTGTCTATTCATGTTACCTCCACTAAACACTAAGGATGTAGTATACACATAATATTATCTTAGTGACGAAGTTCAAATGGAGACGAAATAGATGTCTTGTTGCGTGCCGTTAAACGTCGCAGTTACAACTACTCAACGGCAATTGGCAACAATCACTTTGCTCACACAGAGACCACTACGATATGTGATATTGAACCGACAAGTGTTGAGGCATAAAAATGACTGATAAATTAGTTTTGATTTGAGATGGCTGTCATAGATCATGATACCCTGGTATTTCAAGAAGACTGATTGTGCATCTACATGATATGAGCTTTAATTTATTAATACAAAGATTGAACACGAATGGAAATTCCTTTTTTTTACATAAATAATAAGACACTATTAAACCCAATCCCTCAATCGACTTTTACGACTTGCGCGTGATACATTCTATGCTTTACGTCTGGTTCCAGATCGTCATGAAACAACTTTTTAAAGTAGTTTACTTAATATATTTAAATTAAAAAATATA